CCAGTCCAAGGTGGTGAGGTGTTAGCTAGCCTACCTACTGTCTCCCAGCTTCCCTTTCCCCTTGCTGAGCATCATGTCAATGACACAGGTCCCAAGGAGTATGACTAACACCTAACACTTAATTCATTCAACAAACTGTGAGTTCCAGCCTGTGCTCACAAAAATGAACAAAACAGACAAACACCCATATTCTTGTGAAGTTTATAACCTAGTGTCAGGAGGCAGACAAATGAATAGAGAGGAAATCCACATCCTTGAAAAATACATAATTTAACTGGAAGAAAAAAGTAAGAAAGAAGACAAAATACTACATATCCAATGATATCAAGACAAACTAGGAGCTAATGAGGAGAAAGGGGGAATTAGGGCTTCTTGTGGGTTTAAGGCAGAAATTTTATGACAGAACATGTAAGCTGATAGAAAGCATCCACACTGTGAAGGATAGTTGCTGTTTAAAAGAGAAGAGGGTCCCCCCTTTCTGTCCTCTCACACCCTCCATCTGTCAGGCAGCTCCTGGGTAAGCACACTGGCCCAGACAGCCCCACGCAGACTGTACGTGGCTCCACTGGGCACTTTACCAGGAAGCCTGCGTCAGACCCCTGGCAGAAGTGCTGCCTCTCCTACAGGCCAAAAAGAAGGGCAAGAAGGGCGGCTCTCTGACAGGGATGTCACGAAGGGTGTAAGGTTCTGGGCCACAGAAACTCCAGTTCATTCACCATCTGATCTTTGTGCTTGTGAGCAGTGTGCTGTAGATGGAAATAAACTAGGGGTTGGTTTATGTTTCCTTAGGAACTTTTTGAAGGAAGCGTTTAAACATTAATGATACCTGTAATTGTATCTGGGTGCTTTAACTGGAGCAGAAGCCCTGGAGAGGGAGGGGGCAGAGGAGGAATAGAATGGGGTCTAGTCACTTGTCTATAATGTGAGTGAAGCCCCTTGGAGTGACACAGTGCATATCATACACACGGTCCCCCTTTTGTGGCAAGAATATCAAAAAGCCAGCAGGGGAGTAAGAGGTGAATAAGTCACTCATTGTGTATATAAGTATACTTAAAGTGACCAGGTAGGGTGATCGAGAGTAGTTATAAACCACGTAAGATGGTGCCTAGCACATAATCAGGCTAGGTTTGGTAGACCTGTGTGTAACTTATAAAGGCAGCACACAGGAGTGGGAAAATGTATGCCTAACAATCTACAGGAAAGTCAACAAGTGAGACAAACAAAAAAGAGATGATTCATATCTATCCATCTGACATTAAATGGTAATGGTCTGATTGAAATACAGAATTTGCCAGACGATGAAAAACAAAAGCCAGCCACATACTTCTAACAAAAAATATACCTTTAATATAGGAACACAAAGCTTAAAAGTGAAAAGATGGGGAAAACTCATAATGCAAATACTAACCAAAAGAAACTCAATGCAGTCATACTAATATCAAACAAAGTAGACGTTAAACCAAGAAGCATTGCTAAAAATTATGAAGAAAGGGTAAAACTACCGGGAAGATGCAGTAGGTATAACTCTGTACGTACCTAATAACATAACTTCCAAATATATAAAGTAAAATTAGAAATACATAAGGTAGATAGCTATACAACTGTAACAGATGATTTTAATATACTTCTTGCAGTAACTAATACACTACTAGTAACGGACAATAGTTTTATAGATTAAAATCAATAAAAACATAAATAAAGCTCAATGAAGCTAAGGAGATTTGTATAAAATCACAACCTAACTGGTATACACAGAACAATATATTCAAAGTGAATATACATTTTTTCCATGTACAAGCAAAATGTACCAAAACTGACTTTATGCTAAGCCACAATGCAAATCCTCAGTAAATTCCAAAGGTTCGAAGTCAAAGAGCATATATCTCTGACCACAGTAGAATTAAACTAGCAATAATAAAAAAATATTACTAGACTCCCCAAATATTTAAAAACCAGCTAACTTATTCAGTGAATGATAGCTCTCACTCAAAAGAACAATAAGAGCTAAAAGTCTTAAGAGCCCTTAGGAGCTAAAAGTCTGTCTTATAAGGGAGAAAAATGTACCACTTTTCTGATAAGTGACTATCAAACAAGATAGAATGTGAGAGGTTCAGTGGAATACAAGAGAAATACTATAGATGAGTTCCAGAGTGGAAACAATCACAAATGTTTTGAGCTATAGGAATGCAGTGGTGAAGGAGGAGGTCCCCGAAGCAGATGCATTTATACACTAGACCTTTACGGAAAAACTTAGTCATGCAAAAATTGAAGGACATTAATGTAAAAAGAAGGATGAATAATGCTAGTTACTGATCAGGGTAAGATATAGCAAAGGAACAGCAATTAATTTGATGGGGGGGTTGCTGTGAGTCCTGGGAAGTAAAGTGGGAAAGTCAGAGTGGGCAGGGGATTCTGAAGGGTCTGAATGTTAGTCCTCAGTCCCCTGGAGAGTCACAGTGTTGAGCCTTAGTGTCTCTGGGTAGAGCTGGGCTTGCAAATGGGTGTAGGCAGAGCTAGGAAACTAGGAGCCATGAGACAGGAGACCTGCTAGGAGGCAGAGAACTCACACTTTGACAGTGACAGGGAAGAGAGAAAAAGCAGCAGTGAAAACCCCTCCCCACAGAGCCACCCACGTCCCCCACTTAAGAGTAGACTAACAATGCATTAAAATCACCGCCTAATTGCTCCTTTCAAGGGTAATACTCCAAAGTGGGGAAATGTGTGTTTAATGTTTAGTCTCATCTGTGCCACCCAAGACCTAATTGGAGAGCCCAATCTTTTTAAAAATAGAATGAGCTAAACCCCACCCCACACACACATACACCCAGGTCCTCAAAACCCCAGTGTTTTCCTTTCTCAAGCACATCTCTTTGTATATTTCTGCACCTTGATTTGGACAGTTTAGGTAGGTGCCCCATGTGCTGTCTTGCCAGAGTCCCTGAAGAGTCACCCTGCACTTCATCACCTGTGTCCATCTGGATCTCAGAGTCCGGGAGCCAAACTGATGGGGGAGCTAGAGGTGCCCTTGTGACCCTGCCCCTTAGCCACAACCTGACACCCCATTCCCTTTGCCTCTACTGAGAGCTCCCCCACCAGGGCAGGAGGTGCCTCCACTGTCCCCCCTAAAGGGGGTTTCATCCTCTCCTCTGTGACAGTGGACCCAACAGCCCCTGAGCTGGCTTCCCTGTACATCTAGGACCTTCTCCGAGAGCCAGTCCTCACCAGTCCTCTTCCTAAAAGTACAGCCACTTTGCCATAGATGCAACTTAGAAACTTGGTGTGTGTGCGGGGTTGGGGGACTGCCCAGTGGGTTGAGTGTCCAGTTGCAGGGGGACTTAACAGAGTATTCAGTCTGGTCAGTTTGGATGCAGCCTCCAAACCCAGCTGCATCCTCTCCAGTAAACTCACTTCTGCATTCCTTTCTATATTTCTCCGGCTTCAAGCTCCAGTCCCAATTTCCTTGGTCTCCCTGGATATCAACATCTTCCAAAGCCTGGGCTTTTTACCCCAAAGCATAGGGGAAGCCTTCCCCATGAAAGCTTGTGTTTGTGTCCCTCACTTCTACCAAACCAGCTCAAAGAGCTCAGTGTACATTTTCTATCTTCTCTCTCCTCCCTGGATGCCGCAAGTAAGCTAGAAGCTTCAGGTTCTGAAGCCTCTGGATCTGTCTCATCATCTTTGTGTAAAACAAAGATGATCATGTGATATGTTGTAATATGATCATTTTATAGCAATATTGTTATAAAAATTAAATGAAATAATGTATATATCATGCATGTCAGAACTTGGCAAATATTAGCTGCTATTGTGATTTTGAACTGTTTTCACACGCCCTGCCTCGTCTCAATCCTGCATTTAAGTTCATCTCCTGTCTGCTGAATAAATCCGCCTTGGCTCCTTGGCATCAGCATGGTGGAGGCTTCAGGACTGAAAAATGCAAGAACGAGGACAGCTTCAGATCCCTGGGCAATGCTATGCTGCAGGTGCAACAGCTGCCCTCTCATCTGTGTCTGTTAAATCCTCTCATTACCTCAAACATAAAGCTCATTCTTTGCATTTGTAAGATGAGAAAATGAGATTCAGAGAGAGAAATCAGGTGTCCTGCCCACGTTTATAAAATGACAAGTTTACAATTGTAAACTTGAGTCTGGATTTGCATCTTGTCTGTCTAACCCCAGAGCCCACTTAGCTTTCTGTAGTGTGTGGAAGTCACAGAGTGCCATATGGGGAAGTGCCCAGAAAAGTGGCCAGGTGGCTGAGTCAGTGACTAAAAGGAGCCGAAGACTCATGGCGATCATGTGATCTGTCAGTGATGCCAATGTCACAGCTACAAGCAGAACTGACTCCCCTGCTGGTTTTCTTTTCCTGAGCTCCCCCCTGATTCTCCAGGATAGGAGAACACAGAGTGGGCATTTCCAGACACTCTTGTCCCTCCCTTGAGTTGAGCCAAATGGCCCATGATGCCTTGAGTGGCCTTAAAGTTCATTTATTAAGCCTTGGGCACAATGGAAGGAAAGGGAGAAGGTGGCAGGACAGATGGGGGGCAGGCAGAAGGGAAGGGGAGCAGGGAGCTGGTGAATGTTGATTGAGGTCTGTGGAGTATCAACACTCCAAGATGATCTAGCTTGAGTTTCCACTCTCCCAGCCCCTACTGTCTAATTCCTCGAGGGTCCTTACGTAGCAAAGCCTGTTTTCAGAAAATGATCTGGTTCAGCCGAACCTGGAGCAAAAACTCATCCAAAAGCAGTACTTCACAAACTTTAATATGCCTTTGATCACCTGGGCATCTTGTTAAGCCTGATCTGAATTTAGGAGGTCAGGAGGCAATACATGAGATTCCGCATTTCAGCTGCGGTCCAGGTGACACTAGAGCTGCCTCCCCACCAGCCACACTTTGAGTAACAAGGGGGGGTGTCAGTCATACCAGGTCCCCCCTTGGCATTGGAACCCTGGGAATTCCTCTATGTCAGCACAATCCTTGCTGTGTTTTTCCCTCATAGATGAAGAACATGCCACATGCTTGGAGCCTACAGAGCTGGCAGGGTGGCCCATCACACAGGTGGGGAACCCGCTACGCTACATGTGCCTCACGCACCTGGACAGTCAAGACTACATCTTCCTGCTGCTCATTGGCTTCTGCATTTTCTCAGCGGGCACCGTGGCTGCCTGGCTCACGGGCGTGTGTGCAGTGCTCTACCAGAACACCCAGCGCAAGACCGAGGAGATGGAGGACGAGGAAGAGCATGGGCAGAAGATGCGGGTCAGCAGGCGCATTTTCCAGGGCAAGAATGACTCAGCCCACGATGGGTTTCCTCAGCTGATTTAGTTGCCCAGACCATGCTAATGTTCCTTTCCAGAGTCCCCACCTTCTCCTTGCCCTTCCCACCTCACTCCCACAAAGCTGAGACACAAAGCCTATGAGTAAAATAAATGCTTGGTGACGTTTCACAGGTTGGTCCCTTCCTGCTCCAGGTGCTTCCTTGAGCTCAGCAGGATAGGGCAGAACAAAGCTGACAGATGCCTCTAACTGTTGAGGAAGTCCACCCTAAAGCTGATCCAGTTGTGAATACTGAGTGCCTCAACTAAGAGCTGAAGGGAGGAAGTATGAGCAATATGCACTCTACAATCTGTCCTCAAAGAGCAAACCATTTTGGGAGAAGTCAAGATTACTATGACTCAAATGGAGAAAAACACAAAACCCAAGAACAAGAACATGAAAGGAATGTGTCTGTGTCCATGGACCATCTTCACAGTCCATCTGATACAATTACTCATCTGCTCATGATGTTCCAGTCAATGATAACACTATCTTTACAACAGTGGTCCCAACAGACTGTACCACATAGTGCAGAATAGTCTACCACATAGTACACTAGGTTCATGTAGTTACTCCATGAGGTTCATAGAGCAACAAAACCACCTAAGGCTACTTTCTGCAGAGTGCCCCAGAACACAACACTACCAATAAGCAACACCTGACTATAATTACCAAAACAATCCAAGAATACTGATACCGGTGTACAGAGAAAAGTTGAGGCCTAAACAGGTTAAACAATTGACCAACATCACCCAGTGGGTCAGCAGCACAGTCTCCCCTGGCCCATGTTCTCTGCACAAAAAACATGCCTCCCAAGGAAATATTTAGCCACCTAACAGAGGGCTTCTCATGGAAACCTTGGACTAAACAAAAGATTAGCATACCAGAGTTCCTCTGCCTACTGCATCCAAGCAGTCAGCATCATACCTGGCTTTGTACATATTTTCCCACCTGGTTAACCTGCACAACAACCAGATCAGGTGGTCTTCACTGTCCTGAGGTTCAGAGAGGTGAAGTAACCAGTTCAAAATCACACAAGTGATAAATAGCAAAGATAAGAATTGTTGAAACACAACTGCCTCTCCCCACAACCCCTACTCTGTGCGTGCTGAGCTGCCAACTTTGCTTGAAATGCTAAATGGGGTAACCAAGTATATCCTAGTGGAGTTCACTCTCACAGCTGGTCAGAAGAAAGGAAAGGCAGCACAAGACAAGAGTGGTTCAACCAAGGTCCCAAGGCCATTCCTTGGGGTTTTTTCTTTTCTCTCTATCTTACAACTTATGTTCAGGTCCAAGACACATGTCAAAGCCCCCACCCACAAAACTGCTGTTCCTAAACCCCCAACCAGGTCTGGTCTTACCTCTGTACGTCCACTGTGAATTGCGTGTGATTCCCTAAACTTTGTCTGGTGCAGTGGTTAAGAGCATGGTTCACCTGAGCCCGGGTTCCCAGCCTGAAATCTGTCCTCACCCCTTTGTGAACTTAAGCTTCCTAATGTAGTGACCTGAGGACAGAGACCACCTGTTACTCTGTACTGACACAGCACATAGAGGATGTCTTACACAAAGAAGTTCAATAAATGTTCATTGTTGGCTTTTCTTTATTTTTTCTCAGTTTTAGTAGATATAATTGACATACAATATTCTTCAAGCATAATGCCTTGACATAGGCACATAGAGGATGTCTTACACAAAGAAGTTCAATAAATGTTCATTGTTGGCTTTTCTTTATTTTTTCTCAGTTTTAGTAGATATAATTGACATACAATATTCTTCAAGCATAATGCCTTGACATAGGTATGTGTTGTAAAATGATGACCACAACATACTGTATTCTATTTAAATTCCAATCATGCCCATCTCTAGATTCTAAGGGGTGACCATGGGCAAGTTGGTTCTCTGTGCCTCAATTTCTTCACCTGTAAATGGCATCATTATATGCTTACATCATAACAGGCCATTGTGAGAATGATATCAATTTAATAATATAATCTGGAGTAATTTTAGATGTATTGAAAAATTATGAAGATAGCACAGACAGTTTCCATATATTGCACACCCAGTTTCCCCTAAAGTGACCTCACATTACAGTGGTACATCTGTCAAGACTAAGAAACTGACATTGGGAATACTACTACTTACTAAAAACTTCAAATTTTATTTGGATTTCATCCGTATTTTTTCCTAGTGCCCTTTTTCTATTCCAGGATCCAATCCAACATACCACATTTACATTTAGGCTATTCTAAAAATAATACTATAGCTAACATTTATTGAGTACTGTTGTATGCTAAACTTTGCTCTAAGTGCTTATATATATCAACACATTTAATCATCACAACAAGACTGAGGAGAGTTTTATTATTATTACTACTGCTATCCCTACTAGAAGATGAAACAAAGGTCCAAGAGGCTAAATAGCTTGCTCAACATTACATAGTGAGAAAGACCAGAAGTTAAATCAGCTCTGTCTAACTAGACACTGTCTCCCCCACCAAACCACTAATTAACATACTATCAGGAATTTACACCACCAGGAAGTCTTGGCAAAAGACTTTGAAATCCCGAGCTCTTTTCTCCAAAAGTGAGCTAAGCACCTCCCCAGACCCAGAGAAGACCACAGGGTCTTCCTGGCTGAGCCAGGATGCTCCTTCTAGCTGGGCAGACACACTAGGGAATGGGCAATGTCAAAAGAGCAGGGGAGAGGGGCTGGCACCTCTCCATGAGGCACAGGGGAGACGCCACCCAGTCAGCAGCAGGGTGTCTTGAAAGGCTTCCCAGAGGAAGAGACAGCAAGCTAAGGCATGAAGACTGAGTTGGGATGCACCAGGTAATGTGGCAAAGGGGGGGGAGTGGGTGACAAGGATACATTCTAAATGATGAGAACTACATGCATAAATGCCTGCACACTGGAAAGGATGGAAGACAGTGATTCTTTGACAAATTTTGAGAAATACAACTCTTTAAATAGTTTGTGTGAAAATAATTTTATTTTTAAAAAATGAGTGCTTTAGAGAAGGAAAAAGTGTTGGGTCAAGGGTATTGCTACCTTCAGCAAGTGTGTGTGACCACCTGACAAGAGGGGCAATTTCAAAGGTGATGTTCCAGCAAAGTTACATTTCCCTGCCCCACCCTTCAGTCATACCAAATGACTCCAGCTAGACACCCTGAAAACTCAGAGGGCTCACTAAGGGATACCATGTTTAGTCTAAAACTTGAAAGCCATAGACTTTCACAGAAAAAGGTGTACTTCAGGAGGAAGGTCTGAGTGAAAGCATGAAGGGTGGTAAAAAGAGGTGTGTTTAGAAAGTGACATGGTTCTGTTGCCGTGACTCTAGATGGAGGCAAGAAGAGCAAGCAGGTAGCTAATAGAGTATTTGGTGCAGTGTTTCCCAAAATGAGGCCTGTGGTCACCGGCATCAGCGTCCTAAGACTCTTTTCTTAATCTACAGTTAGGGGGTATAGGTCAGGAATTTCCACTGGATCTGTCTTCTCCATGAACCTGTGCACACTGTGATTTGAGAAACACTGGTCTAGCACAAAGAGTTAAAGTCCTAAAATAAAGTAGTGACAGTGCATGGGAAGGAGGAGAGGGTCATCAGAGCTTCAGCTGCATAGATTGTAAGGCCCATGTGGGAAAAGACCAGAACCTCGCCAGAGTCAGGGCAGATGGACTCCTGCCTGCAGAGAAATATAGATGATGGGGGACAAGTGACAGCCAATAGCTCCTGCCCACTATCTACTGCCACCTCAGGTTAACAGATGGTGGGATGGCGTGATTTCTAGTCTTAGCTTCTTTCCCCCATATGTGATCCCAACCAGTCACTTTATTGCTCAAGACTCAGTTTCCTCAACTGTAAAATGAGGTGATGACACTAGATTGCTTCAAAGTTCCCTCAAATCCGACCTTCTCTAAACAACAAAAATATAAAACACCAATAGAAAAATGACCAAGAATATGAACAATTTTTTTTATTCACACATATAGAGCTGGGGTATAGGCCAGAGATGCGGAGGGTGAGAAGATTCACCAGAGACAGAGAGGGGAGCAGAACAGGCAGATCGACAAAGTACACCGCTGAGGGGAGCAGCGGGCGGGTCAGGAGAGGTCTGCCTCGCCGTGTGGATCTCCTCCAGGGCAGGCGAGAATCGAACTCATGCGGAAGTGGTTTAAGCTTCTTAGTGCTGTGCTTTAACCCGTTGCGCCACCAGGGAGGGCCCTGAACAATTTTTAAAAGAAGAAATCCAGAATACTAGCAAGCATATAAAGAGGTGTTGACACTTACTAGTAATCAGAGAAATGCAAATTAAAACAATAGATTCTACTTTACACTTATTTGTTTGGCAAAATCTTGGAAGATGGATAATGTCACTTGTGGTCAGGGTTGTGGGCTTGTAGGAACCCTATTGTGCCCTGGCAGGGAATGTGGGTGGGTACAGGTGGCCGGGAGAGCAAGTTGGCATTACCCAAGTCCAAGTACTAAAGGCCAAGTACCCCTAACAAGTCCACTCACTCCTGGCACATATGTCCTGCAGAAATGACCAACAACTCCACAATGGAACACCCGTGAGGACATCCATTGCAGTGGTATGTGTGTGGCAAGGAGCTAGAAGAACAACTACATAAAATATGGAGTTCTATAAATGGCTACAAGCAACCAGATGTGCATACAGCCACCCAAGGGAGCTCACAACACAATGCTGAGTGAAAAAAGAAACATAAGGAGGCCCCCTCGTAACACTCAATGTCCTGAATCTGAAAGCCAAAGTCCTACAATATCCTCCAAGGCTCCCTTGACCTCACTAACATATCGCTCCCCATCTGTCACTGTGCCCAGCCTCGCTGGCTATGCCAGGCACTGAATCTGCAACAGAGCCTTTGCACTGGCTGTCCTTGCTGTCTGGAGTTGTAAGCTTTCAAAATTCTCTACACACACACACACACACACACACATACAGAGTGCCCCTAATTCCACTTTATTTTTACCTTAAATAGTAATTTTTACCTT